TGAGCCGAAGGCAGACGCTTAACGACTGAGCCATCCAGGCGCTCCAGAAGAGACAGGTATTAACAGTTAAGTATCCAACTACTTACAACAAGTTTTATGGAGAAAAAGATAACTACACTTCATAGCTCAGCTTTGAAGTATAGTCCTAATAACGTAAACATTGGGGGTGCCTGGGTGGCTCTGTTAAGTGTCTGACTCCTGGTTTTGGCTTGGGTCATGATCTCGGGATCATGGGACTGAGCCCCAGGTGGGACTCCCTGCTCAGCAGGGAGTCTGCTTGTCCCTCTCCCTCTGCTCCCCACCTTGCCCCTCAAATAAATAAGTAAAATCTTAAAAAAAAAATAATGTAAACACTGAACTCTGATTAAAGCAAATTCTGAGCTAGCTCTGTCAGGAAAATAGGAGGATAGGACATAGGCATGAAGAGGACATCAGTGAGTGCAGAAAGATGTTAAAGAATACCTAAAATGGAAAAATCCAGAAGTCACAATCCAAGCATTTTACTCAGAGAGATAAATGCAAAAAGTCTCAACTGCAAGAAGCAAGAGAGATTGACCATGGAAAGAGAAAACTGGGGCTATGTTGGGGAGAAAAGGCTGGGGACTGGGTTGTTCTGAACTAACTATACAACTAGTTGACTCTTTAAATTTTTTTTAGGAACTCCTGGGTAGCTCAGTCATTAAGCGTCTGCCTTCAGCTCAAGATATTCCAGGGTCCTGGAATCGATTCCCACAGGGGGCACCTTGCTCAGCAGGGAGCCTGCTTCTCCTGTTGCCTGCTCTGCCTGCTGCTTGTGTTCTCTCTCTCTGATAAATAAATAAAATCTTCTAAAATAATTGTTTTTAAAACTCTGGACAAAATTAAAACCAATGATCTCATAAGGGTTTATGGCCCAGTGAGAAAGGAAGCGAAGCAGCGGTGAGAACTCTACAGCATCTGCGCAAAGCCCAGGATGAACACCTGTTCTGTCGTAAGTCTACTGTCTTTTTGCAGACACTGACTTGAAGAAGCAGTCACTTGCCAGGTGTCAAGTTTGAAGAAGTATATTGGGAAAATGTTTCTAAGCAACTAACAGAGATGAAATGAAAGTCAAGAATATCAGAGTCAGAGAAGACTCATTTAGAAGTAATTCATTTAGACATTTGTTAATGTTTTTGTTTTATTTAAATAGAGGGAATTCTCTTTTTAAAAGAATATAATTGTATGCTATAAATAAATTCAAGAGAAGATCCCACCAGAGGCAAGCTAAACTTTTATTTATAAATTGGATTCGCAAAGGCTTTAACAACCAACATCGGTACAGTAGGAGACATTTTCTAGGCTCACATCTTTACTAGGTACTTAATTCCTGACTCTAAAGTAGACTATATTTTACATTTTAAGAGAGAACAGTGTCTTTTTAACCTTTCAATAGTGTTTCAGACAGACTATGAGCCAGTAAGTTGTTTACTGAGCACTGTAATGAAACGTTTTTGTACTAAGTGCTACACAACAGTTTTGGCAGCTGGGTTTATTTGTCCTATATATTGATATGAAATTAGCCAAAATAGTTTAAAACCCACACTGCCTTCAAAATTTCTTTTCCTCAAACTCCATTTTTTTTCTTTCCTGATCTTATGGTCTGAGGTAGAAAAGCACTAATTTTCCCACATGAGTTCTTGAATTCAAACACTACGCAAATATAATGTTTAAATGCCAATCAATCTTTACCTGGCTTTATCTGGATCTTTATGATCTAAGCTTTTGGAGTTAATATTTGATTCTTTTTGTTTATACTGGGACAAGGGCAGAATGGAAGCTGAAATCTAAAGTAAACCACCCACCTTAAGCTAGCCATTACTTTCAACTAGCACCAGCAGACATTAAATAGAGCTGCTCATAGTGGGGGGGAAAAAAGGTTTCTCTTTAAGTTTTTGCTTATCTTCTCCACTGGGAAATGTCAATTAATGAGAAAATCACCATAATTATGACATCCTTGACAGAAGATATAAAATTTTTAAAAGTCTGCTTCTTCTAACTTCAGGTTTGCAAAAACAAAAATTTACTAGTCCTAATCAGTACTTTTGAGGGGAAGGATTTGGACTAAGATTCAACTGCTCTTATGAGGGTTCCTTATTCGGGATGTTCATTTCACTGAATGAGAAATGGAAATACAAAGAGGAAGGTAAACTGACATTCATTTACTTATTATTTCCTTTCTGTTTTAAAAGCAGAAAAATTTGCCCTGGTTTCTGTGACCCAAATTCCCTTTCCTACTTCTACAGTAAAGCATTCTTGCAGTCATGCTGACTGTCCTCAAATACTGTGCCGGAGGCTCTACGGGCCAACAGGAGGTTAGATTTCCATGAAAAAGGAGCAGATGTAGATTTGGGTTAGTTCCTTACTTCAGGATTCTGTGCTGGAAAAGCCCCTTAACACACTGCTCACACCATAGTAACAGCCAATTCCATCTGCACAGTAATCCTTGTTTTGTTCTTCTAGTCTGAGCCAAGTTCTTTCATGACTCACTCGTCTTTGCTCCAAATCATTATACCCTTTGCAGAGAAAGAGGCATCCACTAACTGTGGCAACAAGGTAGTGAACTGGTGAACAGGCCTGGTGTGCTGGTATTTAAACCACCCAAGAACCCAATTCGTCTTAACTCCAAGTAATTGTACTGGTGAGGTCTCACCATCAGTACTAGGATTCACACTGGTATTTCCAGATGATTGAGCAATGGTATCCCACCTGTCTTGACTGGAAAGTAGAAGGTTGATATTTTTCTTTAATCATTTTAAACATATTTTATATTTTTAGTCTCATTCAGACTATTCATTTCAAGTTCCTGGTGGAAGGGGAGTCCTCATCCTCTGTCTGCTGTGTCTTCTGTCTTTCATAGTATACCTTTCCCTCTTTTTATGGTTCAGATTGTGAGCTTTCTTTCTTTTTTTAAAAAGACTATTTATTTGAGAGAGAGAGAGAGAGAGAGCACATACAAGTGGGGCAAAGGGGCAGAGGGAGAGGGAGAAGCAGGCTCCCCGCTGAGCAGGGAGCCCAATGAGGGACTCGATCCCAGGACCCTGGGATCATGACCTGAGCCGAAGGCAGATGCTCAACCGACTGTGCCTCCCAGGTGCCGCCCCTGTGAGCTCACTTTGAAAAGAGACTTTCTTTTCAGCTGGGAGTCCTGATGGCTCTGAAGCTTAGAGCTGTTGCAAAACGACTGCTTTGCATTTGCTTCTGCCAGGTACCCTGAGTTTCACCAGTCCTGGACCAATTTTACATTAATTTATTGGTTTGGAGAACACTGTACCTAAGTTTGGGCTATATGCCCATATATTATGCCATGTATGGCAAAATATTGGGCCCTGGATTTGTCATAAGAGGGCATGCAGAATGCTGGTCAGAGAGAAACTTTTCCATCACCTGCCCTACTATAAGCACTTTTCCCAGTTTCCCATCCACTGAGAGAGTTACCCTTCCAGGGTCTCAGCTCTGCGCAGAGATCACTTACAGTTCCCAATCTCAGGTGGACCCAGGGCTGTCTCTCTTGTCCTTGTGAGTTTTTTTTTTTTTTAAAGATTTTATTTATTTATTAGAGAGAGAGAATGAGAGAGAGAGAGAGAGAGCATGAGAGGGGGGAGGGTCAGAGGGAGAAGCAGACTCCCTGCCGAGCAGGGAGCCCGACGCGGGACTCGATTCCGGGACTCCAGGATCATGACCTGAGCCAAAGGCAGTTGCTCAACCAACTGAGCCACCCAGGCGCCCCTTCCTTGTGAGCATTTAAAAACCCATAAGATCTAGGGCTTATATCTGTATTAATAACCCTTTGATACTGCTACACTTGAGCTTCTAAGCTTACCAGTCTGCCTTCATGTCGCTTGAACCCCAGAAGGCTTATATTTCAAAGAGAAATTCAAAACAGATGAAAACTGAATGAAACTCTCAGCTAGTACTTAAGCATTCTAAAAAATTCGGTATTTTCAAGATCGAGAGGCTCTTGTAGACCTGATAAAGTTCTGAGCTCCTCTAAGACACTGCTACTTATCATAGTTATGTGCTAATAGGGGGCCTTTAAATCCAAATAATTCTATTTGTGGTTGTGTGTTCAAAGATAACCTCTACATAAATCTATTCTCATATAAATGACAAATCCGCTACAAAAGTCTTTAGAAAAAAGGTTTATAAATAAGATCTTTGGGGCGCCTGGGTGGCTTAGTCATTAAG